CCCTGTGGGAGAGGAGGGAAGGTCCTGTGTCTCTGCTCCCCAGCCCCAAAGTGGCAGCAGCTTCCAGACCTTGGCCAGAGGGATGTGCCTGGCACCATGCCACCCATGTCCCTGTCTCCTGCAAGGGGGAAATGCCCCAACTTGGCCATCTCCAGTGCCCTTCCTGCTCCCAGCTGCCCTGGCAAAGCCCTGGGTGGTTTGGCTCAGCAGCACTGCCCATTCATGTGGAGAGGGTGCCAAAAACCTCCTCCCCACACCAGGCAGGGCCCCTTTTGGCATGTGCTGAAGGTAGAAGGGCCAGGCAGGCAGCACTGGGCATGGGCAGCCCCTGCCTATTGTGGTGCACGCTGCCGGAGGCACATTTTGGCTATGAGTGGGTTTTTTGACTTTATTTTTCAGCTGGGGGTTTCCCAAAGTGCTGCCTCTGCCCAAAGTCCCTGGGGGCTGATGGGGGCTGGGGGCATCCATGAGGGAATTAGCCCTGCCTGGCTGTGTGCCCCCAGGGACACCCTGGCTGGGTTGGGGGGGGGCAGCACTGGTTCCAGGGCAGCAGAGGGGGGTTTCTGACTGCAGAGGCAGCATCAGACCCAGGGACTGAGCACATGGGCTGGCTCCTCCACCAGCAGCTTGGTGACAGTGACAGTGACTCTGGCAGGACCCACCCACAGCATTGCAGGTGTCCCAGCAAGTCCCAGCAGAGCGTGTGGGCTCCTGGGGGGACAGCAGTGGCCCCACAGAGCTGGGGCCCCTCCAGCCGCACCATGGACTGACAGCAGTGCCTGCAGCATCTCCCCACTCCACCCAGTTTGCCTTTGTCCCGCCTGGCACCTTCTCCTTTCCCTCTCTGCCCTCCCCTCTCCCTGGCTCCATGACTTCAGGTCTTGGCTGCCACCGCCGCCGGCTCCCTGGGACAGAGCTCCTCTTGCTCCTGGCCACCAGTCCAGCTGGGGTGAGAGCTCTGCTGTGTCTGCCCCGTGGGGAAGGATGGACAGACAGACAGCAAGAGCTCCAAGCATCTCACCCAACTGCATGGCAGAGGCCACTGTGGGGTCACGCTGGCTTCAAAAGGGCAAAGTATCCCATCACATCCTATTTTGCCTGGAGAAGTGGCCAAGGGCTGGCCCTGCTCCTTTGTGTGATGGATGAGTTCTTGGCAGCCACCAAACCCCGGCGGGACTGGTAAAGGGCAGGCAGTGCCCTCCCTCCACCCTCTCCTTCACCTCAGTCACAAGGTTTCAGCCAGCAAAAGGCAAATTTTATTCCATCTTCGCACACTGGGCTTAAACTCTTAAAAATAAAAAAAAAAGAAAAGAAAGAAGCAACACCAAAACCAAAATAAATCAAAGTGTTGGGAAGTGGATTTATGGAGCAGGAAGGGACACAGGAGATGGTGAAACACCTCTCATTCCCACCCGGGAATGTGGGGCTGTGAGAGGAGGCAGCTGTGTCAAGGAGAAATAAAATCCCAGGGGGTGTTACAGTGTGGGGCTGGAGGGGAGACGGGGCAGAGGGGTGGGGGCTGCGGGAAGGGCTTTTCCACCACACCACTGGGCTACGGACACCCACTCTCTTTGCTTGCCCTATTTGCATCCGCTGCCCCAGTGGGTCCCTTTTAGACCTTTTTTATCCCAAGCACTAAGATTTCTAAGTGTTTTTTGACAGCATAGGCCGCCCTCCCTGCTGATGTGTTTATAGGAGGAGAAGCTCCCCCCCCACCGGCCACCAGCTCCCCGGGGTTTTCTTCTGCTTGGGACAGGCTCAAAATACATCTGCAGGCTCTTGGCACGGAATTCACAGAGCCCTATTTAACCCCGCAGCTGCCAGTGTCTGTGTCAGACCTCCTGACAGCCTCTGGGGACCCCAAAGCAGCAGGCAAGAAGGAGCTGTGTGAAAACTCAGCTTTTTTGGTGATTTTTTTTCACCCCTGCTCTTTGCTGGGTGAGGTCATGGCTGGAGGAGCTGCGTTATGGGACTTGGCCCATGACCACAGCCTGATGCCAAGGAGCACGTCAGTGGGCAGGATGCCACCTCCCCACCCTGCCCTCCCCAGGGCCGAGCGACAACAGGTCAGCTCAGCTCGCAAATCCAGGGGAAACGGAGTTTGCTCGAGTCTGTTTTTGTTGTTGATGATGTTTTGCCTTGATTTCCAAGGTCAACTGGCCAAAAGAAGTGACTGCTGTGAACAAGGGCCCTGGAAGCTGGTGATGCGGGGCTGTTCCTGCCCACAGCACCCACAGGGCCCAGCCCCCCAGGACCCCGGCAGTGAGTTGGAGACAATCCCTGAGGGAACAATGAAGGGTCGAGCCCTAATGTGACCTGTTCCTGCACCACCAAGGGCTTCCAGCTCAGCTGCCTCTGGAGAAGCCCAGGGCTCCTCTCGTCCCATGCCATGGATGTAGCTGGGAGGCTGGGGGGACAAGGGACAGCAGGACGGGGGGAAGAGGCACTGACCTGCCCTCAGTGAGGGGGGTAAGAAGGAGATGGAGGAAGAGGAGGAGCAGAGCAAAGCAGCAGCAGGAGGGCACCAGGGTGAAGGAGAATACTCCTTCTGGCTGTTGAGGGATGTTCAGAACAACCCAGTATGGATCCTCACCTACCTGATACCACAGCCCAGACCCAAGGTCCCCCTCTGCTCACTGGTTGGGCCACCTCAAAGTTTGCTGGTGAATACACACACACCCCACTCACACAGCTGGTTTTGGGGTGGGATACAGCCACTCACCCCCCCACTAGCAGCCAGCACCAGGCACAGAGGTTTTCACCCGTGGGCCCACTCCAGCCACAGAGCCCCTCACGCTCTGCCATGGCTGGAGATGAAAGATACCTCCACGCACCCCCACTCACTCCTCCCATCCCACATCCTGGATCATCCCCTCCTTTCCAAGGTCAAGTTGCCCTTCCTGGGAGCAATGCCTCTAATCTCCTGATGGCCACTCAGCCTGAGTGGCTGCTGGGTCTGGGTCCTGTCACCCTCTTTGCGTCCCTTTTGTCAGGGCTGTGGCTCAGGCTCTGTTTATGTTGGCCTCCCTTTTCTCATCTCCTCAGCTCAGGAAGTCTTCCCTCAGCTAACCATGCTGCAATGAACATGTTCCCATTCCCGCGTGTCCCAGCTAATTAGCACGGCTGACCGAGTTCCCTTCATCAGTGTTAATTGGCCAGGTTTGTGTCTCTGTGCCTTTCCCATTCTGGTGTTTTCAGTGTCCTTGGGTGGTTTTAGTGCAACAGAGAGGAGAAATAAAATGAAATGATTACACATCCCCTCACTGCATATATCCTTACACTGACACCAGCAGCCAGGAACTTGGGGACATCCTGTGGTGCTCAGGGCACCAGGGAGGCTGTGAGTTCCTGAGGCCAGACCCGCAGCTCTGCAAAGCCTCTTTGGTCCTCACTAGTGGTGGCCATCACCCAGCTGGGGGACCCACAGCCTGACCATCCCCTCTTTCCCCACCCACAGCCCCCATCACCCAGCTCCAGGCGTCTGGTGGCATCACTGGCAAAGGAGGAGACAATGTCTGGTGCCCTGGGACCATATCACCCAGGGTGGGGCGGGTGCTGGGGACATCCTGTGGGTGGCACCTGGATGTGCTCAGCCCTGCTGCCCCTTAGCAGTGGGACAATGTGATTGATCCCCATTGTTGTGCCCCTAGAGCTGCCCCTAATGCCTCCAAAGTGTGAGGGGCTGTGGCCTGGGGGCTGGGGGCAGAGGGCATGGTGTGACAGGGGCCCCCACAACACCAGACCCTTGCCCTATCACTGCAATGACCCCCGTGCCTTCCCCTGTGCTTCAGGACCAAAGGGGGATGCTCTGGTGGGGACTCCCATGTGGATGCATGTGAGTGTGCATGTGCATGCATGTGTGTGTGACCAGGGCTGTCCCCATGGGCACAGGGAGGGGAGGAAAGCTGGCTTTGTGGGGTGCAGGGAAATTTGGGGTGAGTGGAGGTCCCTATGAAAGGTGCATGGGGATTTCTAGGGGTCTCTGTGGGAGAGCATCACGATCTGGGGGAAAGGGAATGGGGAGGGGGTGTGTCGAGATGTATCTGTGGGGTGGAGGGGGATTAGGGGAGTGTCTGCCATTCTGGGGGGATTTCAAGGGGCTGGTGTATCTGTGAGAAGGCATTGTCAGGTGGTGCTGGGGGGGACGGAGGCCACAGATCTGCAGCCCAGATGGAGGCACTTGGGGGGGAGGCTGGGATGGGAAGGACATCCCTCCCCCCAGGGTCTGTGTCTGTCTGTCTGTCTGTCTCCCAGGGCTGCTCTGCCCCCGCCCCCTCCACCCTCCCCCTCACATCTGGACAGCAGCAGCTGCTTATTTCTTTCTCCATGGTTGCAACACTCAGACTCAGGGGACACTTCTTCCCGGCCCGTGTCAGACACCCACCCCCCGCCAGGGAGAGGGCGGGAGGCTCATCTGGTCCAGGAATGGGCGAGGGGGGGCAGGCAGGAACCCCTGTCCCATAAAGCAGATCACCTCAGGGTTGGAGAAAACAGAGTGGGTCCCTGCTGGTGATGAGAAAGGGTAACCAGATTCCCCCTGGGGCTGGGAAGGGTGAGAAGATCCCCCCAGCACTGGGGAAGGGTGACCAAATCCCTGCCAGTGACAGGGAAGGGTTATCAGATCCCTCCTGGGGCTGGGGAAGGGTGACCAGATCCCCCAGGATTAGGGATGGGTGACCAGATCCCCACCAGTAATGGGGAAGGGTAACTGGATCCCCTTGGGACTGTAGCTGTGGACACCACAGTCTCCTCGGTGGGGTGTGCCAGGGTCTGCCCTGCCCTTCCCTTCCCCAAAAATGCCAGCCAGAAACACACCAGTGCCACCCACAGCCATGTCACCTTCAGCCCAAAGGCCAGGGGGGACCCAAGGACAAGGGTGTCCCAAGAGCATCCCCGCTGTCAGAGCCAGGCTGGGGCTCAACCTTGCTGCTCAGCAGCAGCGTCAGGATGGACAGGCCACATCTGTGCACTCCCCTCTTCCCACTGGAAATAAATACCACTTGTTCAGAAGAAACCATTTTATTATTTTTTTTTTCCCAAAGAAAAAAAGCAATATAAATATTAGAGTATAAAACTTGCGTGTAACACATCGACATTGGTCTATATGGGTATAAGAAGGATATAAGCATATATATAATATATAAGTATAATTCAATATTAGACACATTGAAAGGGCAAACGTGTTTCATTTCACGTACACTCGGAGCACAGACCACATGGAAAGAAGATACAGAGAAAAATTGAAAATACTGGTGTTCACAAGTTAGTTACCGAGATTAAAAATAACACGCCACTAAATACACGACACTCACTATGCTACCTCAGATTGCAGATTAAAAAGAAATATAAAGACTACGATTCAGCTACAGCATTTCTAGAGGTGGGGGTGAGGGGGCAGGTGGCAGCTGCAGGGGACAGGGTGGGAACCGCTCCCAGCACAGCCAGCGCCTGGAGGTGACTGGATCCGGATGAAACACGGCGGATGCTCCTGCTGCCCTGGGTTTTGGGGAGGGGATGGTGGTGGGGTGACAGCTGCCAGGCAGGAACCTGGCCGAGAGGGCTGGATCTGCTCAGGTGAGTTATGTGCTAGTGATTAAAAAGGGGAAAAACAACACACACACACTCCGGGAAACCTGGTGTGACCTCTTCCTGGCCACCCTGCAGCCCCTCTCCTCCCTCCGGCTACACAAAGACCCTCTCTGCCTTCCTGGGGGAGCTCAGAGCTGCTTTGATAGGGGAAGCTGGCCCAGTGCAACGGTGATGGGCACATGGAGAAAGTCTATTCCTTATCCTTTTATTCCCTCCATGGGGTGGAAACCCCAAAGCCAGCAGGAGTGTCACCTGCTGTGGGGTGGCCCAGTATGGTCCCATGTGACCCCTGACCCTTGTGGCCCCAGCTCTCTGGCTTTGTAGCATCACCCTGCGCTCACCCCCAGCTCTGGGGTCCATCTCTCCTCCAGATCTGGTCCCCAAGCACCACCCAAACCAACTGTCACTTACTCGATTGCCAACTCTGCACCGAAGCCATGCGCCGGCAGCTCTGCTGATCTCAGCCCTTTGGGCGAGACCCCAAACAACCCCTTTATTTGGGGTCTACACCCCAAATAAGAAAGGATGAGTTTCCCCCACCCCGTTTGACCAATCCCACCACCCACCCACCACCCCCATCCCCAGCGTGGAGGCTCAGGCAGCTGCCGGCACGTTCACGCCAGGCTGCGTGGGCATGCGAGGACTGTGTGGGTCAGTGGAGCTAACTGTGCTCGTGCAGGTGTGGGGTGAAGGATGTGCATGCAGACACGGTGTGCAGAAACGTGAAGCATCGTCCCCCCCCAAGTCCCCTCGGCAGGGACCCGGCCAGATGGCTGCCTGAAAGGAGCCTGGCCGCAGGGGGAGCAAGACTCTCTTAGCTTTAATTCCAGAAGAACATTGACTGTACATATAAATATTTACTGCAAAGAAGGAATGAGATGTGTCTGCTCTTCGGAGACCCCTAGAACCGCTGGGGCAGCTGCCTCACACCTGGGCACGCTCCTCATTGAATTCCCTACCTCTCTGATATCAGGAGGGTGTTGTTTTGTTTTTGTCTCATATTTCAGGCCATTGGTGGTTGCACTTTAAAAAAGAAAAATGTTTAGGATGCAGCTTTGCCATATTCCCTTTGACTCATGCAATATAAACACTTACTTTTTTTTTTTTTGCGGGTAACAGGTAAGCAGAAACTGAAGCACTCCCTACCAACTTCTCAGCAACAAATCCATCACTATCATTAACTCAGGGTGAATTTTACTAATGGAAAGTTTTAAGAACAAAGAACTGGAGCATGGGCTTTAAGCTAGGAACTGCCTTATCCTCTCCAAAATAAAATGATCGAAGGTCTATAAATTAAAAGATCCACGTTAAAATTATTTACACTGGGAAAAGTGAAGCAGAAGCCTCGTGCCTTTCTCAGGCTACCTGGGAGCAAATTGGATCCAAAGACGTGGCAGAAGACCTTCCGCCCTTGCATATTCTAACACCCAAGGGATTGTATAAAATATTAGCAAGTATTCACAGGGCACTTCTTTGCGTTCTGTTTAGCTTCCGGATTGGTTTCCATCATGAGACCTAACAGCAGCGAGACGCTGCTCCTAGCTCTGATGATGAGGAGATACATTCGCAGTGTTTCCTACTTTTTGCATCACAAAAAAAAAAAAAAAAAAAGAATTGACATTCGTCCTCCGGCCTGGGCTGTGGTTTGTGGGAGTGCTGGAGCCGGCTGCCCTGTAGCTCTAAGGTCTCCTTCTTCTTCTTTCTTTACTTCTTCTCCTTCTTCCCGGATTTCTTCTTGTTGCCTCCCGAGGAGCTGGCACCCTTGGCGTCACGCTTGCCAGCCGCGTTGGTGAGGGTGGCGGTGCTACCTGGGATGTAGACGTTCTGCCGGTAATCAGGGACGTGCTGCAGGGTGAACTGGGGGCCGTAGCGGGCGCTCAGCCCCATGGTGCCCGTCCCACCTCCCAAGGTCGAGTTGCCATCAGCAGCTTCTGTGGGGGACGCCAGGGGGTTTGGGGGAAAAGGCAAAGAGAAAAGCAGATCGTTAGTGCTGGCCCGGGACCACCCCAAGCCCCAGCAGCCCCGAAAGACTCTCACTGGTGACAAACTCAGACCTTGGTGCCACCAACCTTTGCCCCTCACTACCTTCAGACCTATCACTCCACGGGATGGTGAAAACACACATGCTGGGGGAAACAGTGCTGCCAGTGCTGAAATCCCTTGTTTCCATCTCACATCGGTTCCAAAGGTTTGGGATTTGGGGCAGGAGGCTGGCTGGGGTAGGGGGCAACCTCCCTTCTGCCCTCTGTAGCCATGGGGGTGCCTGTCCTGCCCAACACTGTCTCCTGTGACCTCTTACTGACTGCTGCCTCTGCAGAAAAAACACACACCCACACACCCCCCCCGAAAACAGCCCATTACAAACATATTGTACAGCCACAACCATTAGTAATGCATTAAGGGAAATCCAATATTATTTTTTTTTCCCACTGCATTTAAAACCCTGCCCCCCGTGTTTCTCCAGCCGGGTTTATTCAGGGAGCAGAGCACATGAGAGGAGAAAGAAAACCCCTCCCTTGCAATACCACAAAATGGCTCTAGGAAGCCGAGCACAAAGCAAATCAATGCTGAAGCGCGTCTGATGGTCCAGATCTGGGAGCAGGGGGAGGGGAAGGCACATTCATTCCTGTCGCTCCACAAAGCCCCAGCACAGAGAGAGGAAGCGCAGGGGGTGGGGAAGGGCCCAGATTCCTGTGTGTCCCCCCTCCCTGTGATGCTGGGGCTCTGCTGGGAGATAGAGACCAGACGGAGACTGAGGGGGGGATGCAGGGAGGCAGGGCGAGAAATGAGTACAGGGGGGATGTTCCGAGGCAGGGGGAGAAATGAGTATGGGGTGGGGATGGCAGGGCAGGAGTGATGCTGTTGCCATGAGCCTCTGAGTGATCTGCTCGGGCATGAACTGCCCGTGCACAGGTCAGGATGGGCTCCTTGCACGCCCCCCCTGAGAAATTATTTGCTAAAACCCTGTCTCTGCATTGAATACTGTGGATCCCTTCTCAGCCTTTTAACTGCTTTGTGCACGGGGCTACTGACATGCTCTCCTGGGAGGCCAGAGAAATCCAGCAAAAGCACCTGAAGGGTCCAAGGCAGAGTCTGGGGCTGCCTTTCACAGGCAGAGAAACTGAGGGAATAAATTAAAACAACAAGCAGAGACCGTGGGCTGGTCCTCTCGTGTTTTCCCTCACTCCAGACCAGAGCTGTGAACGCCTCCGTGTTGTCTTTGTTTCCCCCTGAGCAGATGGAGGTGGCTGAGCCAGCCAGAAAGCTGGACAAAAAACTGGGCCACATCCCACCAAGCTCCTGAAATATTGTTGCCTGCACATCCCCTCGCAGAGGTCGGAAGCATGAAGCCACTTGCAGTTGAAAAGTTACAGCTGTGGAGGAAAACACACAGCGACTCTGGAAACAGGTAGGACATTGTGCAAGGAGGATGGGGGTGGGGGGCACAGGACAGTGCACAAACACAGTGAAACATTATGGGAAAAAACGTTTTGCTTCCCGCATTCACCAGCAGAAGAACTTTTCTACAGTTCTAATGGGTCTACAGACCCATTAAATGGGTCCCAGACCTGGTGGGGCTTTGAGTACCTCGGTCTGGAAGAGTTGTGCATATATAGTTAGTGATATTTATCATTAATCCCCGCTTGCCTTATCAGCAGCTTGTTACATCAATGACCAACTCAACCCTACTTCCATCAGGGAGGTTATGAACGTGGTCGGTGGGTTACAAATGTGGACAGGATGGCTGGAGATGTGCTGTCTGGCCAGGCAGCAGCCAGAGACCAGCTCGCAGAAGAACTATGGCCTTTGGCAGTGGGGAGGACTTCTTTTCTGGGCTCCTCCAGCTGGATACAGCCTGGCTGGGGGCTTGGTGGACTTGGACACCTTCTCCTGTGCCCTCCCCGCTGGGTGCCGCTGCCTTGCTTCCCACTGAGGAGGCTGGGGGCTCTCAGTGGCATTCAAGACCAGTTGGCCCCTCTGAACTAGTTTGCAGTCACAGCATAGCTTTGGGGGGAGGGGGAGGGGGTGAGGAGGAGGAGGGAGGGAGATGGGGAGAAAAAGCTGCCTGTGAAGTTTCCAGCCTGCCAGTTGGTCCAGGGTGCTAGCAAAGGGTTGTTTCTAGGTAACATTGACATTAAGGGCTGAAAAGAAGAGGGAACAGGGACAATAGCGGTTTATAAATGGGCACCGAGCCGCTCTTGCCAAGCAGGGAGGGCACTTCATCTATTGTTGCTGGAAAGGTTATGTTCAGCCTTTACCAGCAGCCAGCCATTATCCCGAACAGTCCTGAGGGGGAAAACAAGAATTTGGACTTGGGAAAAAATAACCAGTTAGTGGCTCCATGGCCCTCGCAAGCAGAGGGGAGGAGAGGCCACCCCAAGGCAGCATGTGCTGCTGCAGCTGCTGAGGGGGCTTTCGGGAGAACCAAATATAGAATGAAGGTCCCAGCCCATGGGCAATGGAGCTGGGGAGAAGGACCTCCTCGGGCTGCCTGTCTGCTCTCCCGCCGTCTCATGGCACCCCTATAAATTCTCGCTGGAAGCCGAAGTATTTTAAGGACAGGATGTCTGCCCTTTAGTGTCTGCTGTCCTGGAGCATCTGTGCTCCTTGGTCTGGCTTAGCAGCTGCCTCTGCCCCTTCAGATGGCTCAAAACACTGACTTTTCATGCTGCTCCTAACTCTGAGGGAGGAAGATCTAGAGGAAGGGAGCCCGGGAAGGGAGACAGAAGCCCTACAGCAGGGTCGTGGACCTGGGGGGAAAACAGCTCCCCAGGCAACCTGTTTTGGGAGGGTGATTTAACCACTGGGCAAGTGATTTAACCCTCAGGGTGACTGGATTGGCAGAGGTTGGCATGGCAGGGCCAGATCTGCCTCATGCTGAAGGATAACCCCTGGCACAGGGCAAGAATGCAAGCAGGGCACCACCAGCCTCTTCTGGGAGGACATCCCTGGCTCATGGAGCAGCAGCAGGAGAGTTTCTGCCTCCCAGGTGGTCTCTGCTTGGCACAGACTCGAGCGAGGGCCTGATGCAAGTCACCATTGACCATGCTCGGAGGAACAAGTGAGCAAAAGGCACAGTGCCATCACCTGTGTCACTGTGTCCCACTTGCCACCCCTGGAGCTCAAACAGAGCTCAGCAGGTGACAAAGATAAGGATCACTTAAATAACCAGGAAACATCACCAAATGATGGGCAGCACAAAGCCTAATGGGCAATTAGCACTGCCCCTAATCAAAGCTTGCTCCAATCAACACTATTAGCTTAACAAGTGAGAGCAGACAAAGGGAGGACAGGGAGCATGCAAGACATGAAAAGACAGTGCTGGTGAATTAAGCTTGTGCTGTGTCCCCACCGAGGGACCAGCATGGGCAAGAAAAGGATGAAGTGGATGGAGCCATCGTCTTCCTGGGGCCGTAGCAGGGAAAGTCCTTATCTAGTGGGTGGGTCTGATTTAAATTGGCCCCCTGGGCAGACTGAAGCCGTGGGAGAGGTTAGGACTGTTTGAGATTTGTGGATTGGGGGAGATTTGCTGCAACAGGGCCTGGGGCTATGTGAAAATTGGTGCTTAACCTGGAAGACACCCGCTCAGCTCTCTGATCCTGGGGACTGCTCCAGCAGCAGTTAGAAAAACAGCTTTATTTGTGAGTAGGGAAACCGGATCTGGAGACACCGAGTGATGATAACCACATGCAACCCCAAAGGCTATTTTTCCATAGTCGTTTTTCAGAGCAGAGACACGCTTTCGCATTGTTTCTTTCCCTTGAGTGTAAACAACTCCCTTGCCCAAGACCTTCGTCCCCTTCCCTGGCCACGGCAGCTGTGTCTCCCAGCTGCCTGGTGCCTGCAGAGCAGCAAAGTTCAGCTGCAGCAGCTTTCCAAGAAAGCAACACCAAAGCCATCCCTCCTCCCCCAGATTCCTTCTCTCCCAACAGCTCAAAGGAAACATCCTAAGCATTTTGCACGGGGTTTTATGGCTGTGCTCTTACTTCTATTTTTAAATCAAGGGGAAAAAGACTTGGAGGTATTTATAAACAAAGGCTGCATGAAAACCATGCTCTTTGGTAGTGCTGCGCAGAGCGATAATTGCACGTCTTTTACACAAAGCCATGGAGACTGTGGGTGCATGGGAACACCCCTCCCTGCTCGCTGTTTCCACATGGCACTGCCGTAAACCGGAACAAACCAACCCAAAACGACCCCAAACCAAACCCTAGTGATTACAACCACAAAGAGCCAGCAGTAGCCGATGGGGCAAACCTTGGCAACTCCCCAGCTCAGTGGACGGATGTCACATGGGCAGGGAGGACACGCTGGCATCTCTGGACATGAGGTTTGTTGTGGATACTGAGTCAGGCATTTAATGTATTCCTGACCCAGTCTCTAGCCATAAGCAAATCTTCCAGGTTTCCTACCTCCTGGCCTTACAGCGAGTTGCCACACAGCAGGCATTTCATTTACTGTGGCCTTGTGGAGCCACATAGTTTATAAAACATCACCTGAAGACTGGCTCTTTCATACAACACAACCACATCCGGAGTCCGATAACGTTCTGCCCAGTACACAGATAACACAGACTGGATGGCAGAGGTAGCCCTGTCTACAGCGTGACTGATGCTGATGGTTATCTGGCATCTCTTCAGCCTGAATTCTTCCCGACCCCTCTCCTCTGCAGGGTAACACAGACCGCAGTACTTTTCCACCAGCAACTCTTCAAGAAGGACTGCTGAAGCCACCCCAGTTAACCCAGATGCATAAGTCCCACCAGTATCTTATCTAATGGCATCTCAGGTGCCCCCATGAGAGCAAGTGCCATGGTTTTTCCCACACAAAATGGAGACCAACCGTTTGCTGAAGCCAGGATCATGGCTTGGAGCATCTCTGTGTCAAACTGGTTGTTCGGCCAGGCTCCACCTTCCTCTCCATTCTGGGAGCTATGGGAAAAGAAAAGAAACGGTGAGTTACTGCAGTTCCATAAGCAGGCATGTCAGAGAGCACGAGAAGCCAAGGCTGAGGGCTTGTCTACTGGTGGAGAGGAGTTTGCAGGCTTTAAATCCTTCTATTCAATAACACTCAAGAGTCAAAACAGAGGTCTCCATCCCTCTCCGGGTTTTTGAATAATAACCACCAATACCAAAAGCACTTGAGGAGGGCTCAGTGGTGCTTCCAGCAACACTTATTTAACTCCTGCTGACTTCAGAGACAGCCAGCACCTCACCACCTCAAAATCCCCGTAGGTGCTTTCCCACCAATCTAATACGGCAAAAAAAAATGCTGATCCTAAAGTCCCAGAGCTGCACGCACCCCTGTACAATCAAGTCTTCTGTTCCTTTTGCAGGCCATGTGAATGAATGGAACTCTTTCAAGAAATTTCAGGTTACAGCTCTGGTCTGCAGCTTCATTTGTGAGACTGAGGGTGAGAAAACTTCACAGCATGATGGGATTTGGGGTCAGCATGGAGCCAGCCGCCCAGCACCATGGAACCTGCTCCAAAGGGAGTCCAAGAGCAGCTGCCAGCTCTGCAGAGGTGGCAGCAAACAGTCCTGGGGAGGCTGGAGTAACAGGGAGAGGAGAGAAGGGAAGTGGGTGCCCATCTTTATTCCCTGGGACTGGATGAAGCTGGGGCTGAGCACCACAGATCTGCCTGGGAAACCTCAGGGGATGCTACCAGGCTTTGATTAAGGAGGATGTGTGATGGAGGTTACAATCGGCAGTCTGTGCACAGTCTAACAAGCCCCCCTTTCATGTTTGCCAGGTGCCAGCTGTGCTCGGCCACCGCTCACTGGTGGTGGCACTTCCTCTCCGGGTCAGGGCTGTGCTCCCAGAACCTCCGCTATGCCTCACTGCTTCCAGCAGAGAGACCTAAACATCTCAGCAGCTTCCTGAGTCCTCCTCCCCTGCTCTGACCCTACGTGACCACATCACTCAGACCACCAGTCTCCCCTCTCCAAGCTGAGTGCTCTGACCACCTTCAGCTCTTGCTGCCCCCTGGGATGCCAGGATCTGCCCCTTGGCTGTGCACTGACTAGCTTGGGACAAGGGCTGCCCTGATCTTGCAGCTGGAAGATCTCCAGAAGTGAGTTGCGGGGGTTTAGAAGCCCTTCCCCTTGGATAAAGCAGAGTCCATTCCCCAGGCAAGTGTTCAAACCACCAGGCTGCAACACACAGAGGTCCACTAGCGCTGTGGACCCACTTCTTGCACCCAGGAGCTGACAGACCCTGCTCAAACCCTAAAACCCTGCTCAGACATGCTCAAGCAGTTGAGATCTGCCACAGCTCTGGGGTGTCCTGCTGGCAGCTCTGTGCTTGAATGCTCAGCACCCCACATGCTGTAAATGCCAACTCAGGCACTGCCTGTGCCAACTCAACACAGCATGCCGGGCAGCAGATGGCCTCCTCGCCACCCTGCCGAGCATCCCACCACCTGAGTGCCCCCAACAATTGCACCCGCTGCAGCCCTCACACACAGTACAGGCTCAATATGGCCATTCTGGAAATGGGACGGACCCAGAGCCACATCCTGTAAAGTTTTATCTACCATGGTGACCTGCACAGGAAGGACGTGGACCTGTTGGAGTGAGTCCAGAGGAGGCCATGAAGATTCTCCGATGGCTGCAGCACCTCTCCTATGAAGACAGGCTGAGAAAGTTGGGGGTGTTCCACCTGGAGAATAGAAGGCTCCAGAAAGACCTTATAGCACCTTCCAGTCCTTAAAGGAGCTACAGGAGGGATGGGGAGGGACTCTGGATCATGGAGGGGAGCCACAGGACGAGGGGGAACGGTTTTAAACTGAAAGAGGGGAGATTTAGATGAGATCTTGGGAAGAAATTCTTTGCTGTGAGAGTAGTGAGACATTGGCCCAGGTTGCCCAGAGACGCTGTGGCTGCCCCATCCCTGGAAGGGTTCAAAGCCAGGTTGGAGGGGGCTTGGAGCAACCTGGTGTGGTGGGAGGTGTCCCTGCCCAGGGCAGGAGGGGTTGGAACTGGATGATCTTTAAAGTTCCCTTCCAACCTGAACCTGTGGTGATTCTATGATTCTTTGATTGTAGCGTGGGCAGCTACTGCTCCAGCTGCATCAAAGCTCTACAAGGAGGGAAGCCCTGAATACAGAAGAGCTTCCTCCATCCTCTCTGTGCAAATGTCCTGCGCACAGGAAGAAAAACTGCAGATTCACAGGATGGATGAGAGTGCCTGTGAGCTCTGATCAAGACCCACACATCCCTGCCCGGTCACAGAGCTTGCTACAGATCCAGTGAAGGGTATAAATGTGCGAACTCACTTGGAAATACAAGATCTGTATGTAAGGGAGGCACGTGGGATGCCAAGATCACACTATCATCTGTCCCTTTCCCTTCTGTGCCGCTTGGCTGGACCCCCCCCAGCCCCTAGCCAGGCACAGAGTCCACTGCTTTATCTGTGGAAGATGCAAACAATCCCTAATGTAACAGAGGCTGCCTTGGCACAACACTGCCAACAACACTGCTTCCGAAATACCTGCCGTCTGCTGCAACCCAGGGCATCCCAAAAACTATTTATATCCATCCTCCACGATGCGGGCGGTGGCACAGTTTCAAGAAGGCCGGCAGTGAGGCTTTGCTCGCCTGGCAAATTGATTTCAGGGCTCACATGATGGCTGTTCTGAGACCCCTCAGAGGCAGGTAGTGCTGCCCTGGGCTCGGTGTTGTGGCCATGAGCAATGTCCAGGCAGTGAGGACAAGGAGGGGGACAGCCTTGGGGCTGCAGTGACCTGTTAATGTCACAAGCAAGGCTGGGAATAGAGCCCCAAGCTAGATCCAATAAAGGACTTAAGAACCTAAACCCCATTTCAAACCACAACCCATTCAGCCACCAGTTAACCCCAGCAGCTCCTGCCCCACCAGCTGGCAGCTGAGGTTCCCAGGCTTTTCAGGGCTGCAGGAAAGCTAGCCAGAAACACCCCAGTGCCTCCCAGTCGCTGCTCCTGGCTCTGAGAGCTGCCCCAGAACACTGATGGGATCCAGGGATGGGGAAAGGGAAAGCATAAGGAAGTGTCAAATCCATATTTTTTTTTTTTTAATTGTAATATTCCAGTGGTTTGAACTGTGTTTTGAAATTGGAAGCCCAGGTTCAATTCCCTCTTTGACGTGGCAGTGCTGGCATCACATTTTCCACCTCCCAAAAGACTCCTTCCTCCCCTCCCATCTCTCCTTCAGGCCACGGGCTGCACTGGACAGAAGCTCCTCCTGTCAAAGCCATGCCTCTGTGACCTAGGATAGTGGGAATGCATGGAAGGAAGGACTCACCCTATAGTCAGGGCACTCACCTGGGAGGTAGCACCAGGATGCCCAACCTCAGCGAGCTCCCTAACCAGGTGGTTCTCACTCTCCACCTCAATGACCCTTGGCCCCACGGCTGCCGGGAGGCACAATCAGGAAAGCCAAGCACTGGAATTACCCTGGGCTGAGTTGGGAAGGGAGGGAAGAAGGGCCCTGCAGCCCAGGAGGGGGTTGAGTGACACAGTCCAGCCCTTCCAGTGCATGGCATAAGAGGAGTGGCTGTACCAAGAAACACGTGGCTCTCGTTCAGGTTTGACCACGTTTTAGAGGTGTGCGCCACCAGGGAAAGGTGACCCCGCATCACCAGTGAGCAGAGAGGGGTTCATCCCCAGAGGATGGTGAGATGGGCAGTGTTTCAGACCTTTCTCCTTTCTTCTCGTCTTGGAGACGGAGTGAACACATGTGAACTCACGTGGTGGACTTCACTGGCCCCAGTGTTACAGCTATACCCCAGCGTCAGGGGGACAGCCAAAGTCCTACATCTCCTTAATGCCCTGTGGGATCGTGAAATCACAGACTGATTCAGCTGGAGAGCTACATGAAACACCCAGCCTAACAAAAGCTGGAAGGTTTCTGGTCCAACACCCCACTCCAAATAGGGCCAAGCTTTCAGCTGGATCCAGCTTTATATTAGATGCTTGAGGCTCTGAGCAGCCTCATTTTGAGTATGAGATTTCTCTATCTCTCTGGCTTCCTCTACCAGTGTTTGACTGCCCTTGGGTGAAAAATGTTTCCTAACATCTACTCCAAATTTGGCTTGTTGCAACATGTGCCCCTTGACCTTTATCCTTTTACTGTGCATCTCTGAAGACAGCAAGACGACCCTTCTCCCAGCTCTCAAGCCTGCAAGCTGAAGGAGCTCTCCCAGACTCTTCTCTCCTGTCACAGGCTCCAGACGTCTCATCATTTTGGTGGCTCCAATATGGCCAAGTTTTTGTTGCAGTTGCAAGCCCACAACTGGGCACAGACCTCCAGGCATGGTCCCACTAAGTGCCGAATTGAGGGCAACCATCTATTCTCTTGACCTGCTGTCTACAATCTTACCAGTAAAACCCAGTATACAGTCAGTCTCCACCACAGCAAGGGTGTACTGGTGACTCGTGTTCAATCTGGTGGCCCCCAGGTCCTTTTCTGCAAACATACTGCACCCAGTGTTCCCAAATTTTCCACAAACAGGCTCAAAGCTGTGTGCCTGCTCCCCGTGATGCCATACATAAAAGCTATTTTAGAAATGCCTTAGGGTTGCAAAAAACCAGTATTGAGCTCACTTCTCTAAGCAGGAAATTCAAGTCCCTCAATTACTTGCAGTGCAATCATCCAGAATTCAAAGGCACAGAAAAAAAAACCAACAAGTGCTGTAATCTGAAAACACCCAAAAATAACTTCTTGCATTGGAAAAAAGGCACACAGCTGATGACCAGATCTGGCTGTCTTCCATGGCTATAGGATGGAATTGTGATTCAGAGCCATGAATCACTGATTCAACGGCGAGCAGCCTGTCCTGCCCTGCTCCCCCTGCCTGGGGCGGGCAGACCTCGGAGCCCCCCCTCACAGCCCTGCTCCCCGCTTGGCTGCAGCCTTGGGCGCTGCCGCAGGGAGCCTGCCTGGAATGGGAGGGCT